AATGTGGGACTAAGCATTTATTGTCAATTAACTATATCACCCACTTTGTCATATTGGAACAACTTTAATGGAAATAAATCTTTATTATTTCCAACAGAACCCTGATTGTGGTAAGTTTGGCAATAGAAGAAAAGGTGTCAAAGTAATCAACTCCTTCCATTAGAGTATAGCATTTGGCTAATAGTCTTTCTTTATGCATTTCAATAGTGCCATCAACTTCGTGTCTGGTTTTGTAAATCCACCTGCAACCAATAATATTTTTACACGGTGGAGATCAACAAGGGACCAAGTATGATTTTGATCAAGAGCAAGTAACACAATATTTATGGCTTGTTTCCAATAGTCAAATTGAAAGGCTTTTTATAAGTATTTGGTTCAATATTTATGGGAAATGAAACAACAAAAGGCTTGATATGAAGGTGTGCAATGCTGATAAGAAAGAATAAATGATAATGGTTATGCAAAAAGTGTTCAGTTTAACAAAACCTGCTCGTATTATGAATGGTTTGTAAACCCATCAATTTCTGTTTAACATTGATGATGGATGTTGTATTTTTAGTTAAATTTGAGTTGTAAATGGGTTGGGGCACCCCTTGTGCCCCAGTTGAAATAATATATGCTTAACAAAAAATGGTTATGCAAAATGATTATGTGAAACATGATTAATATGTAAAATAGATTTGCAGTGAAAGTATTGCAAATATGTAGGTTGTTTGACTAATATAGTCGACCTTATTAAAGGAAAAGATGGAACAAGTATTTCGTTGTTAGAAGTATTTGAACAATACATGTTAGGTATGACAAAAGGAGTATGGTCAGGGTCATTAAGAGTAGTGGTTTGATCAAGGCCTGCAAAGGTAGGTTCGGTAGAATTGTCTTATTCAGATTGATGATTAGGTAGAGCGTCAGGTTGATCATGCAATAAAAACTGACATGTATGGTAATAAAAAGGTTGTGTGACGTAAAATTATATAAGATTTAACCTTTGGTGTCATCTTCAAAACCAAGAAATACAACCTTTCTAACTCTAGCATCAAATTTACTTCTATAAACTTGAAGAGAATATGCATAGCATAAGCATCAAAAGACTTTGAGATGGATAAGTGAAGGTGGTTCATTATAAAGCTTTTCATAGGAGCCTTTGTATTGGAGAAGGGGAGTGGGAAGGAGAAATTCATCTACAACCACGCACTAGGGAACCCCTATGAACCTTTCGATCCAACGTTGATTTTGATTACTACAATAAAGGAGATCGGGAAGGAAACATTGTAACATTCTATCGAAAAGTTAAACTGAAAGAAGTTATGAACCAATGTTATTGTGGCAGAGAAAACTAACCTCCTACGCAAAGTTTGAAATTCATTTTTATCATTACAATAGGTCAAACTCGCTAGATCGCTCAAGCAGTAGCTAAAACTCGACTGCTTCAGTCTATTTTAAAGAGAAAGTGAAAGAAGGTTCTAAGCATATAGGCAGAGTAGAAGTGAGAAGAGAAAACTTCGCTCATCCAATGAATTCACCAACAATCTACGAAGGATGGTGTATCAGACGAATTTAGTTCTAGTATAAGTTATTATAAAAATACAGATATTTATTTCATTACAATTCGCTTGAGATGTAAATATATTAGTTTTTATTTAAATCTCATGTCAATTTACCTTCCTCAGGTTAAACGGAACGAGTCAACTAACGAGATTAGAAAAGTTATTATTTTTTAGCGGTTGATTCAAAATATGGTGTCCACTAGAGATAATTTCTTTAGACATCATGTGAATTTAGATTTGATTGAAATTATGTGGTCCTTTCTTTGAGGCACTACAGAGTCCATAGATCATACTTTTTGTTACCTGTGAGTGGCTTTCGGTCTTTTGTATGATATATCTAAATGGTTGGATAGGTTATAGGTATTACTTGAACACTAAAATTTTTTATTTAAGATGTATATATTTCTTGGAGTTAGACCAACTATTAAAGTATGAGTAATTTTGATTTTCCATTATTTGATTAGAAGCCACTGAAAATCTCAAAATAATCTAATTTTTTAAAAAAGACTTTGACAATTGAAGAATTGGTGGAACAAATTATTCACTCTTATTATAAATAATATCTTAGTAAAACCAAAAAATTCTCTTCCTCTTTCTATGAATATAGAAAGGCTGACGGAATATATCATTTGTCTAAATCATTAGAGGTTTGTTTTTTTTAAGGAGTTTTTGGTTTTGGTAATGTCCGAAAGAACTTTGGTTCCATATATTTTTCTTGGGTGTCTACTATCAACCGGTGGTATAGATTGGCCCCAATTTTCTATTCCTTTTTAGTTTCTACTCCTATTTTTCGGTTTTGATCGTTATTCTTGAAGTTTTATTGTACTTATTTTTTTCTCTATTTAATTATTTATTTTCATTATTTTCGTTGGTGTTGTCCTTTTGAATTTGGTGGTTTTCAGAGTACAGCCACTAGCGCGCTTCTCTTACCACTACTGTATTTTAGGAATTTGTCTTTGTAGCTTTATATATATTCAAAGTAAATTAAAAATTATGAGATTAAACTAAATTTTTTAGCTCTGTCTCCTAATTAAAATAGACTCTTCCCGTGATGAAATCGCAATCATCATGGATGAGTCTATTTCTTCCTATAATTATTATTAAGCACCTGTTTACAAGTTTATGCAAACCTTGTCTCATATCCTATCAGATGAAAATGGAAACTTGAAAGGGATAAGACTTTAAAGCCTAACGTTCAAAAAAGAATTGCGAGTGGGACCAATTTAGAAGGTCATATAATCCAAAAATAGAGTACTATTAATTCCATGCAGGGACCATCATGCATGTGTGTGTCACAAACCCATCACATCATATGATCACCCCATCAAATGACCGTTTGAGGCACTAACTAACACAGATTCTTTTCTATACAATAGTGGTGAACCAGTGGAGGTAGACAGCAAAAATAAGGTATAATTATGAATAGATTAAGGTGATGGCGACAAATTAATCCTTAAATTTGGTCCCATTACCTCTAAACAATTATAAAATATGCATGAAACCTCCTACTATAATTGTTTTCTGTTAGGAGTACCGTACAAAGTTCTTTCTCTCACTTTTAATGTTACTCCCTTGGTTTTGATAGTTATTCTTGTGTTTTGTTGTGGTTATTTTGCATAAGTTAAGATTAAGAGAGAGAAAAAAAAATATTGAAACGCTCTTTTACTTTATTAAAAATAATTGTTCTCTCTTTTTTGAAAACTAGTTTGTCTATCTTAACACGATCTAGAGAGCAAATTTATTAGGACATGCAGCTAAACTGTTAAAATATGATACAAATATTAAACTTCTTATATTAATATATTTGCGGCAATGAAAATGGAGATCAAAACTTAAAATTAAAAATTAAATTTAGAAATAAAAAAGAGGTTTCTGAATTAAAAGAATAAATTTTTATTTCAAAAAAATAGGAGTACATTTAATTTTTAAATATGTATAAATAATTAGTAAAATACAAAAAAAAAGTCCATTAAAATAATTTTTGTATTGAAGGTTTAAAATGATTAAATAAAATAATTTTTTAATTATCATCTTAAATAATCTTGTAAATATTTAGATTAGATTGACATTTTTAAAGATAAAACAAAAATTGAACTTTTTTTTTTATAAATTCGATTAGTTAAAAAAAAGGGCAAGTCATCATAAGCCATAAAAAAAATTAAAATTCTATCAAATCAACTTACTTGTGTTTTTATTACTATAGCTTTATTGTATTATATTTTTGGATTATGCTATAAATTTATTAATATTTTGAAATATTTAAGTTTATTAATTTAGATTAATTTTCTTTCCTTGTTTGAATGTATTTTTATACAAAAAGTAAAATTATAATAAATTATAAACTCATTTTTTATAAAAAAAATTAATTAAATATTAAAATACAACTTTGAACAATATATTTGTTAAATTATTTCAAATAGTTTCACAAAAAGTTTGCAATATTAAATCAATTCAAATAAGTTTATCTACATTTTAAAAAGCAAATGAGAAAAAAGAATATGCATTGTGTAAAATATTTTTACAGTATCGACCAATGACCAATCAATGACATGTATTCCGCTAAATCATACATTTAATTTTAAAATACTGACATGACATAGAGAAATGTTATAATTTTATTGAATAATAGTGTAACAGTGCACTACTTTTATTCTAAAAAAAAAAATATCCAAAAAATTATTTTATTCTATCTATGTTTTAACTCGTTACTCTATTTAAATATAAATCAAAATATTTATTTAAATATGTTCAAATGAAATAATTTTTAAATAAATTTATGATAAAAGGCAGTAGACCAGACACCTACAATATAAGTATGTGGCGAGATGTTGAAATATGCAATAGTACATTTTTCCGCGGAATGATGAGTTTTACCTCAACTCTTTTACACATGAAAAAGTTTACTTTATACATTATAAAATGTAAAAAAAAAAACCTAGTACTATTATAATTTTCCATAGATGGAATATTTACATATAAACTTGAGGAAATCATGACCTATATACACTATAGACTCAAAAGATTGGCCTTTTGCGACAACCTATATACTAAACCTATCCTCACGGGTGTAACAATCCAAAGAATGATGACCCACAAGTCGCAACATTTTAACCAATCAATCATTTTCCAATGGCAAACCTACATTGTCCCATAAATATGACCGTTGAAAATACCGTTATCTATTGCCCATATTAACTCTTATTCACATTTCTCAACGATAATATATTCACAATGCAGACAAATACCCTCTCACTATAAAATATACAAATGAAATTAGTGCCTCTCATTTCCTCTTCCTTTTTACTTTCACACTGTATATTATAAACTATACAACAATTATTTTATTCACACTTTTCCCAATCCCATATACATTATAAATATGCAATAGTACAATATATCAAACAAATTCTTCCTTCAAACATTCTATTCTAACTTGCTTGCTTTCGATATTTCATAATGGCTAACGCTACTCTTTTACATTCGCTGCAATTTCTTTTGATTTTCACTTGTATGTTGTTAAATGCAGGATTATTGACAAATGGTGCGCGCTATCACGACACAACTTTCAATTATTTATCTTCTTCAAACTCCTCCAACGACAACCACAACTGGACCGGACCTGTTGGTCACCTTGTAATAACGGTTGATGTCAACGGCGGAGGCCAGTTCAGTTCCGTCCAAGACGCCGTCAATGCTGTCCCTGAAAACAACACAATGAAAGTGCTTATTAAAATCAGTGCCGGAAAATACAAGTATGAACTAGTACCAAATATAGCTCTTAACTTGCACAATTGGAGTATTTTTTTTAGACTATAACTTTTATGTGGTGCAGAGAGAAAGTGGTGGTTCCCGTGACGAAACCGTACGTAACGTTTGAAGGTGAAGGAAGAGAAGTTACAGTGATAGAATGGCATGATAGAGCGAGTGATCCTGGTCCCAATGGACAACAGCTACGGACTTATAGAACTGCTTCTGTTACTGTTTTCGCTAATTATTTCTCTGCCAAAAATATCACCTTCAAGGTAATTCATTTTTTCAAAACATTTACATAATTAATTAATAATAAATGTAGTAAAAAATCGTACTGCATGTGTTGTCGCAATCTACAGCTACGTTCCAAAATTGTAAATATGTCCTAACATTCTCGTGACTTTGCACTTCATGTTGTTTTTTATTCTCTTCACAATAGCAAACAAGTTTTAGTTTTCAATTTCATAGTTGTGTGATTAGAAACATTAGTATAAGTTATAGGGTTATTTAGTGACGTAAGTGTGATGCATGCAGAACACAGCGCCGGCACCGATGCCGGGGATGCAGGGATGGCAAGCGGTGGCGTTTCGGATATCAGGCGACAAAGCGTACTTCTCCGGCTGTGGATTCTACGGTGCACAGGATACGCTTTGCGATGATGCTGGTAGACATTACTTCAAAGAATGCTACATTGAAGGTTCCATTGATTTCATTTTCGGAAATGGCAGATCCATCTACAAGGTAATAATGCCTCCATTGTTAAGATTTCATCGAAGAAATTAATTTTTTCAACATTGAGATGCGTAAAAGACATTAAATTTAGGCAATTTCTATTGGAAATAAACTTTTACCAACTTTTCTTAAAAACTGTATAACCTTTCTAATGAACCAATTAAGATGTACTAGAAGAAAAAAAAAAAAAAGTACTTTTTCAAAATTGACTTTTACTATAGTACTCCAGTTCTTTAAGATTAACATAAACTTCACTTTGATTGGTTGGTTCAGGATTGTGAGCTACATTCAATAGCATCAAGGTTCGGATCCATAGCAGCACAGGATAGAAATGACCCAACCGAGAAAACGGGCTTCGCATTTGTCCGATGCAAGGTGACGGGCTCAGGCCCGTTATATGTGGGCCGTGCAATGGGCCAATACTCGAGAATAGTATATGCGTACACATACTTTGATAATATAGTTGCACACGGTGGTTGGGATGATTGGGATCACGCCAACAACAAAAACAAGTAATCTAAATTTCAAAATGTTTCATTTAAATTATAATTATAATCATAATACTAATTGTTTTGGTTATGAGTTATGACATTATTGTTTCGTTTATTAGGACTGTGTTTTTTGGAGTGTACAAATGTTGGGGACCAGGAGCAGATGCAGTACGTGGGGTGTCATGGGCCCAAGAGTTGGATTTTGAATCTGCACATCCATTTATCAGAAAAAGCTTCGTCAATGGAAGACATTGGATAGCACCCAATGATGCTTAGCCAATATGCCATTTTTTATTATCAAATATTACAGTACAGTCCATAAAAAAAAAAGACATATTTTGTTTTTTATATAGAAATTCATTTGTGGATAATTTTATATACTCTCTTTTTGGAGGGAATAGTGTAGGACTCTTTTTATTGAGTATTCTTTGATCTACTTCGAATTAATAAAGGTATAAAGGTGCAATTCAACAACAACCCTTTCTTTTTTCAGTTTAAACATTACTCTTGCATAGGCGATTTGTATTAGTTTTTTTATATAAGCAACCTTGAATTGAAATGAGAATTAGGGATAGTTTAATCCAAATACAAAATGACAAACAAAACAAACAAGCAGTCAAACCATTTTAAGGTAATCAAGAGAGCATTTACACCATTTATAAAAATTATAATTTATTCTATTTTTAGCACCTATTGCAAGCCACTACCATGAGAACATCTTGACTTTAAATGCAATTTCCTCAACATTGTCAACTTCATTAAATGAGAGAGTACTAAGGGTAGTAGTTTTTTTTATAAGCAACCTTCAATTTAAATGAGAATATTAGAGGTAGTCTAACCCAAATCAAAATGACAAACAAAACAAACAATCAAACCATTTTAAGGTAATCAATGCAATCAAGACGACATTTACATTATTCATAAAAATTACAATTTATCATATCTTTAGTACATATTGCAAGCAACTAGCAAGAGAACATTTTGACTTTAAATATAATTTCATCAACATCGTCTACTTCATTATTAAAAATAATGCAATGTCTTAATCTCGAAATGCACCAAGATAAAATACAGCCTAATCACACCTTCTCTATATTTTGAGACCATTTCTTTCATAATTGATTTCAACTTTAGAAAATGACTACAACAACACCCTTCAAGTGATATGTTTACTTGGAGCCGGCTTTGAATCTTCAAAACTCTCATCACATGAGTAATATTTTCTTCATGTCTAAAACAAAACACATATATTTTATGATGAGAACTGTAACACCCTTATTCTACCCCATAGATAAATACGGCAAAATAACACGGATTTCAGAGTAAAATATCAATTTTCATAAAAAAAACCACAAAAGGGCGTACATTCTCAAATTCATCAAAATAGGATCCATACTCCATAACACACAGGTTTTCTCAAAATACATCAAAACATCATATACAGCGGAACTCAAACATAACTCAATGTTTTCCTCATAAGGGAACATCATTAAAATAACTCAATGATATACAATCAACTCAAAGAACCCAACCCGATGTTACATATCAGAGCAAGACCCTCTACATTAACCATAAAGGCTAACGACTCTAAAACGTCACAATATTTCTCGACAGCGTCCACAACTAAACTTGCTCAACTGCACGTTACCCACGTGGAGGTAACATTCAAACAGACAGGGTGAGTAAGACAATTCATAATAATCAATGTATAACAATTAATGCATAAACGGCATATTACTCATAGTTATATTCAACACATTGATATCCTTCAATTATGACTCAAAGGCCACAATGTCATAATTTATACACAAAGGCACATAAATGCAAAGGCAACATAGACTCAATGCATGTGGTACCAATCATCACAGCTCGATGGACACTAGGCCATCAACCCTCCATAGATCCCCATCAATAGGATCGGAGCACATCAAAATACTTCACATCCACACAGTGGGATTGAAGTCAAAGTAATCGAGGTCCTGAACCGAAGTTCGGATGCACATGAATGCATGATGCACACTTCACAATAATCCTCATAATAACAGCATATGGTGCATCATCATTCATCATATTCATCATCATTACACGTCATATCTCATCGTCATATTCATCATCATAAATCATGTCATCATAGCTCCTCGTAACAATCATCATCATACATTTTTATCATATCTCATCACAATAATCATCATTATACAACATATCATCATATTTCATCACATTAATCATCATACCGCATATCATCATAATTCATCATATTATTCATCATACAACATATCATCATAGTCCATCATATTAATTAAACTCACACATCATGTCATCATATAATCATGTATAAATCACATATTAGCTCATATTCATATTATCCCATATTACCCCATATTAATTCATAGTACTACCCTCATATCATCTCATATTATTTTATCAAGTTATACTCACGGTAATCCTCACACTATCGCCTATCAATCACATAAACATCACTGTTCTACTCATGTTAATTCGTCATATCATCACATAGTATTCACATATTAATCCCTAATATCATCTCACATTGCCTCATATTAATTCATCATAATTACACTCGCAGTAATTCTCATACTAGCACTTATTACTCACGCAACCTCACTGTCATACTCATATTAATTCATCATATTATACTCACGGTAATTCTCATACTATCGCCTATTAATCACATAAAATTCATAGTCCTACTCATATTAATTCATCATATTATCACAGTTACCTCCATGGTAATTCATCTGGAAAATCGCAGCATCAAAACATCAAGACATCACTGAACCAAAACATGATTCATTAACAGGACATATACACAATTGACTTCTCAAACATAATTAGATATAAAAATATTGGGAAACCAATTCCTTTATCTATACTATGTTATAGCCTTATTCATTAGCTTTCCAACGCTTCGAACGGGGGTCAAAACGGACTTACGAATCAAAAGTTACGTCCAAAACGATTTCGACCGAAAACATGAACAGTCGTGACGGACAGCGAAACGCTACTACGCTCCGGAACCTAAATCAACCCAAAAGTCCACACGATTCACTTTCCCAATGCCCCCAAAACATCCCTAAATCATCTCTAAGGTCTTACGGCGATAAAAACACAAAATCTATGGTTTATTAGGCCACTCCCTGAACCTATTCATGTTCTAAATCACAATTTCCCTACAATTGCTCTGAAGGAATCATAATTTTAAATATCAAATATTCTATCCCTTATGGGCAGATATATAACAATCTAAGATTTTGGCCACAAAGGCCTAAGGTTTTCTTTCTCATATCAATATTCAGTGATACATACCATTAGCCATACTCTCAGAGTCTTATCATCATTTTCCCTAAATTTCCCAAATCAACCCAAAATACCTTAAATCATAGATCAACCATAAACACATCTAAAGGCATACATAGAAAATCATGAAAAGCCATACTCCCCATACCTTAGCCGATTCAAAGCTTTCACGATTGTCTCCGGGAATCTTCTGCCTCCAACCTTTCCTTCAGAGCTTTGGCCACCATATTTTCACGGTTAACACAAATGAATTCTAATTTCCCTTCAGAACTCAATTTTGTCCCACTTAGTCTTGGGTCTCCCAATTTAGATTTTTCCCATAATATCCTTACTAACTCCTCCAAATGGCCAATTTACCCTTATTTCACTTATATTTATTTTAATAATAATAATACTAATATTCTCATATAGTATACTATTAATTAAATGAATAGTCCAACACGCACATCTTCTCAATAATTCTCAAAACCACCAAAAATACGAATATTCTCAATTAAATAAATTAATTAAAATATTCCGATTAAACTTGGGGTGTTACAAGAACTATAGATGGTTCCCCTTCTAGCTAGTTGCTACTTTGTTGGTAATCAATCTTGAAGAGCCTTCAGCTGAGCACCTTGACTTTAGATGGAACTTTTGTTGCCCATAGCACCTTTAAAGTTTGCTTAAGTCCTAAGTTAGAAGCTTCCTCTTTTGAACCTGCATTAACTTTCCGTAACAAGACCTTACTTAAAAAGAATTGTCATCACTATAAGGTCACACAATAATATCCATCTAATTATTAATAGACTTTACATCATATAACAGATCAAACAATTATTTTTCCTCTACATAATACTCAAAACTCTTCATGTTGATGCTTTAGCCAATAAGCCACTCCCAACTACCACCAACCCAGTTGCCCTGATTCCTCACACTCCCTACTTTGTTTGAAGCAATCATGTAGAGATTTGGAAATTGAATTGATAGAGGATATTGACCCGACCTTCTTGCAGTCCAAAAGAAAATATATTGACCATCATCAAGTTTGAATGTTAGCAACTCCATGGTCCCATGTGGTTCCTTTGAATCTATCAACTTCAATAATTCTCTCCACCAAAGAGACTTTTTTGACTTTTTTTGTCAAACATTCATTAAACCACAATCTCCTTCTCAAGTTATCATATCTTTCTAGGAGAATTCCCACCCAAATTGCATTATCTTCCATGAGAAACCTCCACACCCATTTGATTAACAAAGCTCTATTAAAGTTAGTCACATCCTTGATACCAAGGCATCCCTCGGCTTTAGACTTAAAAGCACGCCAAATACCAATTAGTTGAATAAAATACTAAATACTTCATTAAATAAATTAATCAAATTTTGTGGTGTCACAACTCTATCCCACTTAGAGAATTTTCTCCCTCGAAAGTTACTTGAAGAAAACAGAGTCGGATACAACTCTCTCGTCTGACTCTCCAGCTCTCACGTCATGCTTCCACCAACAGGTCCTTCCCATACCACCTTCTTCATCGCAATTTCCTAGCCTCTCAAGTGCTTCGCTTCATGATCCTCTACTCTCAAGGTAGGTTTTTCAATGGTCAAGTTCCCTCTAACTTGCACATCATCCACTTGAATCAAATGAGACGGATCAGAAATATACTTTCTTAACTGAGACACGTGAAATACGTCGTGAAGATTAAAAAGAAACGACAATAATACAACTCGGTAGGTCACTTCTCTATTCGCTTCATAATCTGATAAGGACCAATAATACAAGACGTGAGCTTTTAAGACTTTAAAGATCAACCAACACCAATAATCGAAGTCACTCTCAAAAACACACGATCTCCCTCCTGAAATTCAAGTGTTTTCCTCCTCTAATCATGGTAACTCCTCTGGAGACTCTGTGAATATTTCATCTTCTCTTGGATCATATTGATCTTCTCAAAGGTTTGTTGTACAATCTCAAGTCCAATTATAGTACTCTCACCTGATTCGTACCAACACAAAGGTGTCCTACACGTCTTACCATACAACGCCTCCAACTGTGTCATTCTAATGCTAGAATGGAATTTGTTATTGTAAGTAAACTCGATCAGCGACAAGTATTTATCCCAAGCACCACATTGTTCTAGCACATAAACCCTCAACAGATCCTCCAAAGATTGAATATTTCTCTTTGTTTGACTGTCCGTCTAGGGTTGATACGCATAACTCAACTTTAACTTAGTATCCATGACTTCCTGCAAACTCTTCCACAACCTCAATGTGAATCTCGGATCTCAATCCGAAATAATACTCAAAGGAATACCATGCAAGCTGACAACTCTTTTAATATACAACTCAGCCAACTTCTGCAAAGGATAATTGATCTTAATCGGAACAAAATAAGCCAATTTATTTATTATGTCAACAATAACCCTAATGGAATCACATCCTTTCGTCGTCTTCGGCAAACTTGTCACAAAATCTAAGGAAATGATGTCTCACTTCCACTCAGGAATATTTATAGCTGCATCAGACCCAATGACTTCTGATGTACAATCTTCGACTTGTGACAAAGAAGCATAAACAAAATTAGCTACTTCCTTCTTAATTTTGGGACACTAAAACATTCTCTCCAAATTTTGATACACCCTCCGGTCACAATTATAAGCAAAAAAAGTGACCTTAAAACTTGGTCACTATTATAAATAAAAGTCGTTAATTTGTAAATTAATTAATGTTTGTATTACTAGTATACCCTTCATTTAATTTAAAAGCATTTAATATTATAGTGGATTCATTAAATATAACTAAGGATATTATGGTATATTTTACTTTGATTGTATACGAAGTCAAGAAAATTAATTACATTTAACTAATTTTTTAATCAATCTAATAATAGTTATTTTTGCTTATAATTGTGACCGGGGTAGTACATCTTAGTGACACTGGGATATATACTCTGACCACTTCTATGACCTTCCTCTAGAATACTCTTTGTAAGTTCAGGTAGATTAAGTACATAAACCCTATCTCTGAATCTCATCACACCATTCTCGTCGATCCTGAAATCACTTCCCTTACCTTGGTTCATTACCATCAATCGGTCGATCAATCCCAAAGTCGATCTTTTGACCTTCTTTGATTTCTTCAAGGATACCATTGAACAGCTTCAACATGCCTAACTTCACATTATTAAGAGTATTTTCACACACAAAACTCATGTCTCTGAACTACTCGATCAACTCCAATTCTCGAACCATAAACATCGACATATAATATGACTCCCTACTCAACGCAACAGCTACGACTTTGGTTTTACCCGAATGATAACTCAAGCTAAAATCATAATCACTCAGAAATTTGAGTCATCTCCTCTGTCTCATATTTAACTCCTTATTGTCAAACAAGTACTTCAAACTCCTGTGGTGACTAAACACTTCAAATTTGGAGGCAAACATATAATGCCTCCAAATTTTCAACATAAACACCATGGTTGACAACTTTAGATCATGCGTAGGATAATTCCTGTCATGGACTTTCATTTGTCTATAAGCATAAACCATAACTTGACCATTCTGCATCAGCATACCACGTAGACCGGTCTTTGAAGCATCACAGTACACAACAAAGGACTCACTTGGATTCGACAAAATCAAAATTGAAGTAGACATCAACTTCCTCTTAAGTTCTTAAAAACTCTCCTCACAATTCACATGCCAAACATAAGTTTGGCCTTTCAAGTCAGTTGAGTCAAAGGCAATGCTAACTTCAATTTTATGCCTTCAATAAACCTCATGTAATAACCAGTCAAACCAAGAAAACTTCTTATCTCCGTAACACACTTCGGAGTCTCCCACTACAACACCGCATATATCTTATGACAAAGCAACGACAATACAACCACTAGAAATTATATGCTCGAGGAAACTCACCTCTCGCAACCAGAATTCAAACTTGGATAACTTTGCATACAATTTCTTTTCATGTAAGGTCTGCAACATAACTCTGAAATTCTCTGCATGTTCTTCATCAGAACTAGATTATATTAAAATATAGCTGATGAACATAATCACAAACTGATCTAAGTATGGATGGAATATTTTATTCATGTACTCCATCAACACTTCAGGTGCATTAAACACACCAAACAACATCATAAAATACTTATGGTGACCATATATCATTCTGAATGCAGTCTTTAGAATATCGTCTGACTTCACACAAATCTAATGATAACCTGAATGCAAATCAATCTTACTGAAAACGCAAGCATCAAACAATTGATCCATCAAACCATGAATTCTCTAAAGAGGATACTTATTCTTGATAGTAACCTTATTCAGTTGTCGATGGTCAAGACATAACCTCATGCTACCATCTTTCTTCTTGACTAATAACATAGGCGCTCCCCATAACGAAACACTCGGTCGAACAAACTTCTCTCAAGAAATTCTTCCAATAGTTTCTTTAACTCCCTCAACTCTGAAGCATACATCCTATAAGGAGCCATCGGTACATGACTAGTACCACGTACTAAGTTTATGGCAAACTCGACCTCACACTCCAATGGCAAATCACTAATATCATCTGAAAACACTTTTGGAAAATCGCACAGCACTGACAACTCACCAATCATAACTTTGCATTCAGTCTTCATAGAAGCTAATATCATAAAGACCTTAGCATCATCCTTTATGAACTCATTCATTTGCTTTGCAGATACAAACAACATGTCACACATGCGTTGAACTCTGGAAATGACACCAACTTGTCAAAATAGTTGATATGAACATGGTTGAACTCCAACCAGTTCATTATAAGGATAACATCAATTTGATTCAATGGTAGACATATTAAGTTTATCATAAATAGTCAGCGGACAATTCAAACACACCCACGAAGTAGTCACCAAACGATTAGTCAGGATATCAATAACCATAATCTCAACCGTAGAAGAAAACTTTAAATCCAACCTCATATCAATAACCATACTCTCAACCGTAGAAGAAAACTTTAAATCCAACCTCTTAGAACAATCAAGCAAAATAAAAGAAAGTATTTCATCCATGCGAATAATAGAACAATTGATGTCATGTGGGGTTGGACCATTGTAGATATACCATTACAATCTACAATACAAACAAAACACATGATATACTATTACCTAAATTATTAGAAATTGTTGTGTCGTTTTTAATGTAGTTTTACATGTCAAAAGATGAAGTATTCAGAGTTATTATTTTCACAAGGACAATATCTCAGTCTTTTGACTACTGTTATGGTTTTAAAATAACAATGATTTGTACAAAAAGTTTTTAAATCAAAGTGATTTGAATAACAATGATTTATAGTTTTGATTTTGATGATACCATGTTAGAAAACTATTTGTGTAGAATGTTATTGGAAATGGGCGACTTCTCTCTAATATCCACTCGTTGGGGACTACACAAGAATATCCTATGTTCCTCAAGTCCCCTCAACACTGTGATCCAACACTTTGATCCCTTATATAAAAGACAAAGTTATTATGCTTAATGGATTGGAGTTTATCCTCTAGACAACAAATTTGATGGTTTTCTCCCTATATTTAATTTGAATTAATGTGACAACTAGCAATAGAACATAGAAGAGCGTATTATCTGACTTAATGATTTGGTCATCATAGGAAAAAGTTCAAGTAAGATAAATGCATTCGAAGACATGATGAACAAAATGATTGAATTATATGACATATCACATTCCTAGTTTAGAGTTTTCCAAGACCAGTGTTGATATTTAGAGAGACACATTCGTGAGGTATTGATGATATTCGATATGAATAATTTAAATACAGCTCCAACAGCAACAAATTCGAATATAAAGTTGCAGAGCAATAAAGACAAACAGGTAGGGCATAGCACTTTATATCAATAACTAATAGGTGCTTAAAATGAATCTCAGACTTTGGGGCATCATATTTCTAAACTTATGCAACGAGTTTCAGTAGAATTTCATGGTATATTATGGTTCAGAATGCAACAGTGACAAAATGGATAGGAAAAATGTGTTAAACATTTATGAAGCTCCAATAACTTGGTGCTGAAAGAATCATGCAGTAGTATCTTTATCAACCTCTAAAGTTGAGTATACTGACATGCAACATACAAGACATTGAGACTTTGAGCTCTTTTGGAAGAAATTCGAGTAGTGAAGCTTTAGGTGGACAATAAATCAACAGTATGTGTGCTAAACATCCTAACTCATAAGTAACACATTGAAACACATTGAAACTTCGTTGCAGAACAGAACTTCAAGCAACACCTAAAATTAAGGTTTAACTAATTGAACACTATTAAATACTGTCCAATTGAACACAATTAAGGTTTAACATCCTAACTCATAAGTAACACATTGAAACTTCGTTGCAGAACAGAAATTCAAGCAACACCTAAAATTAAGGTTTAACTAATTGAACACTATTAAATACTGTCCATTTGAGACTTTTTTAATAGACCCCGTACATGGATACATGAGAGTATTCTGGTTGGAATACCCTATCAAGAATTTCATTTGGGAACAGAATATTCTGTATGAATACCTATTAAGGAATTTCATTTTGGAGGATAGAAAAATCACAGATTGGACATAAAATGTATAATTACAATTTGATAATAAAGAATATAAATTGATAGGATAAATAAAGAGGGTGAAGAGATGGGATGAAAACATTAATGGCTGGTAAAAATGATTTAAAAGATACAACACCACACTGAAATAACTAAAGTTTAAATTCTTAAAGCCAAATGAAAAAATTGAGTAACAAAACTTAGAATATTGTGAATTACATATGCTTAGTTTGACATATAAGCAGCACAAAATCCATTCATAGATAATAATAAAAACTTACTATATCCCAAAATTAATAAAAAGGAAAATCAAATTGAAGTTCTTGACACATTTTCAAACCTAAGGAATTACATATTCTTCTCCTCAACCTTACTTCTCAGAAGAGTTGGGTCCTCTCTTCTTGCCAAATCCCACCACTACAATAAATCAAATCATCACAAATCAGAATCACAAATCACAAATCAAAAACCAGAAAATTCTAACATATCAAAAAATATAAAACCTACTTTCTAGGGTTTGCAAATCTCAAAAAATCAACACACAAAAATTAGGGGTTCGTATATACCAGCAGTGACGAATCTGCGATTGTACTGCATGCGCTTGTGAGCACGACCACGGGGCTTCTTCTTCTTATCCTGTTTGGCAACTTTGGGTGTTTGGCCTCTCACCTTACCGGCACGAGCGAGTGATCCGTGAACCTTACCTGAAAATATGATTCCATAAATCGTTACGGATTACGAACAAAGGAAAATAGAAGAAACACAAATTACAATGCAATTCAACTTACCCATGATTGCGAAGATGAATTCTCTGCTGAATCCTCTCTTCAATCGCAGTCGCTGGAGTCGCTGGAGGCACAAAAGCAGTATCGGAACAATGACTATGAGTTTCTGCTATTAGTATTGAAACTAGGGTTAGGGTTTTACTGCTTTGGGCCCAATTAAATTGAAACGGGCTTTAGGTTTGAATGAGCTGGGCCAATGCCCAATAGTGTTTCTCTACTAAAATAGTTTATAATTTAATTGTACAATTCTCAGTTTTTATTAATTAAAATACAAAAATATACTCGAAGATATAAAATTTTAAGGATTTTTTATTAGAAAATATATTTACTGTTGAATTTAAAAGATCAAATATGATTTGACTAAAAGTTTGAATCCAAACCTTGAATGTAATTTGAAAAAAATTAAAACTATGTGTAGTAGCATACTATTAACAAATTTGGATTAAATACATTTTTGTTTCTACAAAATAAAAAACAAAAACTTATTTAAATTCTTATACCATAGTCTGTAAAAATAAAAGTCGGTTCAACATTTATTGAGGTTTAATATTAGGTTTTTTACCAATAAAAAAGAGAGGGGTTTTTAATTCTAATAATAATACTATTATATTTAAATTGTCTTTCATAATATTTTAAAATATAAATTTTGTAATGAGATAAATATTTATATACTCGTGTAATATATAATGAATTAAATTATTGTGTGATGTTATTTTTTAGGCTTAATATTCTTTTTGATCTCGTGTCTTAGTCTCATGGTTCATTTTAGTTCTTTAACTTTAAAATGGTTCATATTGGTCCCTAAACTATTTAACACGTTGCATATTAGTCTTTTTTGTCCTATTAGCAACGGAAAAATTCAAAAATTAATCGCTAGATTTGTCGTTAATTAAACAAAAATGACTAATATGAAACGTTTTGAAGAGTTAAGGGAACAATATAGACCTTTTTAAAATTAAGGGATCAAAATCAACCTCGAGATTAAGATAGAAGACTAAAAGAGTATTAAATCTATTTTTTATATTAGTTTCTAAAATATATTAATAAATATTTAATTGTATGAATGGATTACTTTCATAGTATTTTTTATTAGTTTATTGTGATTGTTTTCTCCTAACAATTTCTCTTTGATAGAATCTTCTCTAGGGAGAATTTATTCAAGAAAAATGTGATTGTTGACTCTGATCTTATCATGTATCTTAATTGTGGTGCTTTCGTTAAATCATCTTATCATTTGTTTGTCACTTGTGATTTAGTTAGCACTGTCTGATATATATGATTTTTAGCTGGTTGAGATGGCAAATAGTTCTTCACATGGACCCTATCATTTGAACAAATCAAAAGTGGGTTGAAATTTTGGTCAGATTGCGAGTGTTCGTATTTCTTTGCTCTTTCCTTCGTGGTGTTTGATCTGGTGTTGGTGGTCCAGTTGGCTTGAGCTCTGTTTGATCCTCCTTTGGTATGTAGTTTTTAAAGGATTGTTTTTCTAAAGATGACTTGTTGTGCCTTGTTTGTTTTTTAGTCTTGTATCGTTTTTCGTCTTATACTTTTATTTGTTTGGTTTCTACGATGTAATTTTTGGTATATACTTTGTATCAATCGATTATTCAGGTGTACGTTGTTTGGGTTATTTACTCTTTATTATTAATATTATTTTGCTTTTAAAAAATACGTTATGTAATTGAATATAACTATGAAATAATATGTTATACTTTAGATTTTAGTTAAATAGTTGATTACGCCTCTTTGTGTAATCAATTACGCTTTGTGTTTTAGCTGAATAATCAGTTACAACCTTTTGTATAATCAAATTATGTTTCGTATTAAATCCATGTTTCATAAAATATTTTAAATATTCAATTATGGAGCTCTAATAATTGATTAGACCTTATAATCGATCAAAGTTATGATTATTATTTAATTGGTCAATCATGTCATTGTGACAAATGAAGGTAAATTATGCTCTCTTTTTTTTATTTCTTGTTTGAAACACCTTTACATTTCTAATAGAGAGAAGAAGAAGAAAAAAAAGAAGAATGTTTTGAAATTATGAACTGTGTCATACAGTGGCAAATCAAGAATTTTTTAAAAATTAAGCCAACAAAGCCTCAATTTGATTTGGTTCAGGTAAACATTAGTTAAATGGATAAACATAAAAACAAATTTAATTGTTCGATTCTTAAGTAAGGTGACTTAAATACATCCAAAAAAATTATCGATTTTTTTACGTTTCTAATCATTTTAGATCGACTTGAATTTAAATATTATGAATTTGAACATTAGTTGTGAAAATAAACCTTAGGAATATTGTAAATAACACATTTAAATTCAATCATTTCTCTCATTCTGTCTCACTAAATATTACGATATCACACATCAGTTGTATCATTCGGGAGATTATTGTCTATCCTCACTCACTTTCAGTATGAAATCTTCTTAACGTTGAGAGTGAGTCGTTCTTGTTGGGTATGCGAGAATGAGAAATTGTCTCCCACAAACGGCGGTACTGTTATGTACTAGAACTAGAAATGTGTAGAGTTATGGAAGCTGCGATGGATGAGAACTTCTGATGTGCGGAGTGGAGGGAGTATATGTAAGGTTAGCACTCTGAAGCTCAAGTTAGTATGTAAATGATGAGAGAGTATTCAAATTGTATCTAAAACTTGTTATCTGAAATGGCATCATTTCATATATATATATATATATATATATATATATATATATATATATATATATATATATATATATATATATATATATATATATATATATATATATATATATATATATATATATATATATATATATATATATATATATATATATATATATATATATATATATATATATATATATATATATATATATATATATATGAGAGAGGAATATTTGCCTTGCTATTTTTTTGGCATAAAATGCATAGGACTATTGAATGTGTTAGGGGTACGAATCTCCTACTTTCGGGTTTCTAAGGGTCCAACCGTCGGGAGAATATTCTAGAAGCTTAGTAAATACCTAATCTGAATATGGGACATTATGCCTTATGGTGATCGGCCTAAAAAGGAACATGATCAACCTAAAACAATGACCATCTACTAGTTAATGGTGGACTATTGAATCCCTACTTTAGAGTAAAATGTGAATTAACAATTGACTTTAACTTCTATCTACCTAAGAAATTTCTTTCTCTATGATTTGCGTAATCGGGTAAGTGGTAGATGCTTTATGGCAAGGCGATTCCCGTCAGAGGGCAATATGTGGTATTCGCCCCTTCTGAGGGTTGCAGCCTTCTGCCTTTGCTAGAACTTTTATAGAGTGTCGGAGTATCCCATGGCCCTAAGATTCTTGGTGATGTGGTATGACGAGCCATATTGACTAGTCTAGATTCCCTTAAGAAATACATTGCACCTTTCAGGCTTGGATATTCATATGTTGGATCCCGCCTGATAAAACCCTAAGTCCTTCGGGCAAGGAGTTTATATAGCTCATTCGATAGGAACTCTTAGTCCCATAGGTAATGTCATATTAAGTCTGGCTAATGAGACTATAAGCCTCACAAGCGAGGCGTTGGACATTTTGGATGAGACTTCAATTAAGCCATTAGACAAGACATTAAACTAAGTCTAGTAGGTTATACTTAAGTTGCGCCTTATGGGGAGATTCATATGTTAAATCTCTTCCGAGGAAACTCTAAGTCACTCGAGTGAGAAGTTTAGATGGCCTATTTAATGGTTACTCTTAATCCCACAAGTGAAGTCATATTAAGCGTGGTTGATGAGACTATAAGTCCCACGAACGAGGTGTTTAACCACTCAGTGAGAATTCTATCAAGCCTTCATACAAGAATTTAAACAGAGTCTCTTAGGATAGACTTCAATCACGCCTCATGGGTAAGATTCATATGTTGGATCCTGCCCGAGGAAACCCTAAGTCCCTTGGTCAAGGAGTTTAGATAGCATGTTCGATGGGAATTCTTAGTCTCACAGGCGAAGTCATATTAAGCATGGTTGATGAGACTATAAGTCCTTCAAGCGAGGCATTTAAGACGGGACTTCTATCAATCCCTCAAACAAGACTTTAAACTAAGTGTCTTAGGTTAGACTTTAGTCGCGCCTCCTGAGCGAGTTTCATATGTTAGATCCTACCTAAGGAAACTCTAAGTCCCTCAGGCGAGACATTGGACCTCTTGGATCTGGAGATTCATATGTTGGATCCCGCCCAAGAAAACCCATTGTCCCTTAGGAAAGGAGTTTAGATAGCATTTTCTATTGGAACTCTTGTCCCACAAGCAAAATCATATTAAGCATGGTTGATGAGACAATAAGTCCCTTAGGGGAGGCGTTTAACCTCTCTGGCAGGATTTCTACCAAGCCCTCAGACAAGACTTTAAACTAAGTATCTTAATCTAAACTCTAGTTATGCCTCCTATGAGAGATTCATATGTTAGATCATGTCTGAGGGAACTTTAAGTCTCATAAGTGAGGAGTTTACATAGTTTATTTGTATTGTCTTGAAGGGCGACAAAGATCTTTGTGAGAAATTCAACATTCAAAACATTGCCTTAAGAGACGACAAGGATATTTGTTATGAAGTCCAGTATTCAAAATATTGCCTAAAGAGGCAGAAAGGATATTTGTTATGAAGTCTCGTATTCGAAATATTTCCTTAATAGATGGCAAGGATCTTTTCTATGAAGTCCAGAATACAAAATATTGCCTTAAGAGGCAGAAAGGATTTTTTTCTATGAAGTTCAACTTTCTAAATATTACCTTAAGAGGTGTCAAGGATCTTCATTATGAAGTTCAACATACGAAATTTTGCCTTAAGAGGCAACATGGATCTTTGCTATAAAATCCAACACACAAATTATTTCCTTAAGAGGTGACAAGGATCTTTTCCATAAAGTCCAACATACAAAACATAATAAAATGTTCTTGCTGCTCAAAACATTTAAGAAATTGTCCATAGGTGCATGATCACGTCTCTTAGGAAATTAAAATGATATGT